TTTAAAAACTCAAAAGCTATTAAAGCCTTATCAGAGACCAGCAAAGGGGCACGAACGCCGTTGAGAAACTCTTGGGTGAATGGTCTTACAGAAATTTGAAGGCTCGTAAATGCTCTTAATGCTCTAAAAATTTCCCACGACTGTTGTGTATAATACATCAAGTTACTGCATAACAATGATACCAGTAAATAATGGGCCATACTACATCCCTACTGGATGGTTATAGTTTCCCTTTATTGTCGTGTATAACACAAAACTTTATTTTACCGGAGAAATCATATACATATCAATGTAAAACTTCCGAAAATTCTGAATTTATGACGTCAAAAATAGCAAGCTTGGTCTATTGGAACAGTTCTGAACTTCATTTTATTTCGTGTTCCGTGTCTCATTTTTAATAAGAATGATAAATGTCATTAGAATGCGCAATCATTTGTTTCACTTTCTCTACCCTTGTAATTAAATAAAGTAAGTATAGTATTCTACTCGCATATAATAGCTGTTACTTGGATGAAGATTATGACACTCGCCTACAGGTCGTATCGTACACTACATCGGCCTGATTAACAACTATCATTATATGCGCGTTGAATAATATACTATTAATGAATGGAGCAATTGTCAACTAGATTTTAGCAGTTGTATGACAATGTGGCTATTATGTGGCGATTTTAATACTTGCCTGTCTCTTACAGCGATACAGCGATTGAGGCAACCTTGCCTTTTTAATATTGGAAAGGTTTATGTTTTCCTATATGTGTACAAAGTTACAAGTTTCGTTCATGTCCAAGAGACAACGGTGCCGCATCATGTGGTCGGTAAGTGAAGGAAAAGTCGCAGATACTGTGGTGTATAGTCTTTATTATACATACAGGGTCATTCTTGACGAGCGTCAGTTAGAAAGATATGGAAAACCTTTGAAAATTAAGCTGAACTGATAAGTCCTTTAAAGGTTTTGGCACATGATGAATGAACTAAAATATTTTCAAAATGGCGCCACTTCCGGAAATACCGGAAGTAGCCATCAACTTTGTTATTTTAAATAGGGACCCCCTATTTTTTCTACATTTTCGGATTCTACGTCGAATTTTGAGTACAACGATACCCCGATAGTTGACTCTTTGCCCCAAGGGCTTCGCCGATATTCAAGTTTTTGTGTCAAAAATTGAATTTGCAGGGATAACTTTAAAAATTTATTATTCGAAAACGGTGAGAGATATTGCAAAATAGTTCTCAATGCTTTATTAAGGAAAGATCGAATTTTCTTATGGTATGCGTAAGAGTCTAAAAAAGTGAGACTACGTCACTTTTTCAAAGCTCTTAACTTTTAAACTTTTAAATATCCGTAACTCCATTTTTTCAAATGGCACCCCCCATTTTGTTCTTCACCCTTGTTTTCCTTTTTCCCAGACCTTTAATTTGATGCAAAATATCAAAAGCTGCTTCACACGGTTTCCGAGATATTTCATGCTTTAGTTACTTCTTGTGGAAAGTTGATAAAAAAATTAAGTCGCTTGATGTTATCTTTTGTTTTTATTATGATAATGTTTAAACGTCAAATTTTTGTTGCTTGAACTTATACTTCTCGTCAATAATGGCTCGTTTGGGTTACACTAATGAAGATTTTTTGAATTTAATATTAATACACGGTGAATGTAATCGAATAGCTGACAGGAAAAGCAGCGAAAATTTGACGTTTAAACATTATCATAATAAAAACAAAAGAATAACATCAAGCGATTTAATTTTTTTATCAACTTTCCACAAGAAGTAACTAAAACATGGAATATCTCGGAAACCGTTTGAAGCAGCTTTTGACATTTTGTATCAAATTAAAGGTCTGGGAAAAAGGAAAACAAGGGTGAAGAACAAAATGGGGGTTGCCATTTGAAAAATGGAGTTACGGATATTTAAAAGTTTAAAAGTTGAGAGCTTTGAAAAAGTGACGTAGTCTCACTTTTTTAGACGGTTACGCATACCATAAGAAAATTTGATCTTTCCTTAATAAAGCATTGAAAACTGTTTTGCAATACCTCTCACCGTTTTCGAATAATAAATTTTTAAAGTTAACCCTGCAAATTCAATTTTTGACACAAAAACTTGAATATCGGCGAAGCCCTTGGAGCAAAGAGTTAACTATGGGGTATCGTTGTACTCCAAATTCGACGTAGAATCCGAAAATGTAGAAAAAAGTAGGGGGTCCCTATTTAAAATAACCAAGTTGATGGCTACTTCCGGTATTTCCGGAAGTGGCGCCATTTTGAAAATATTTTAGTTCAATTCATCATGTGCCAAAACCTTTAAAGGACTTATCAGTTCAGCTTAATTTTCAAAGGTTTCCCATATCTTTCTAACTGACGCTCGTCAAGAATGACCCTGTATACACCATGGTACTTACTTAGTAGTGCTCAATTGTTTTATTAATTCCAATTTAACATTCACGCACATCTCCTTTGATAGTGTAACGAGCATGTTATGAGTACTTATGACGCTTATTATTCAGAAAGTTGAGTCGAAGAAATTTTGTTCGAATGAATTTCTTCCTTGTCTCTTCTTGTGCGTACAATTTATTTATTGATTTTTGGTTGTCATTTTTGATTGTGCGAGGTTTCAGTCAAGGCTGCTCTACGAACCCAACTCACTATACATTTACAAATGCCCGCACCCGGATTCGAACCAGGGAGCCTTAGTACCGCAGTCGAGCTTCAACTCAACTGCGCAACAAGGGCCGGCATTTAGTTGTGGGGGACGGACATCGACGAGGTTTATTGTTTTGGTTTTCATCGATATGTGACAACATTTTCTGTCATGTCTTTTATTTAGTATCAGCATCCAAAATGATTGAATTTTCGCTGGAACGTTTGCATACCTCAACTTCAATTTTTCAATCAGTATTGTATGCATACGTTTTGATGTGGTAGAAGAGGGTTCCGTTTATTGGACTCTAAAGATGTATTTTTCGCCTTCACACAACATTTTTTATTCTTAATTTTCTTGACGAGGGTTCCCTTGTCTTAAGACATTTTTTTTCATTTGAATTTTGTTATAGGACCTCAAGTTCCACGTACCGATTTGTTTATTATTACTATTTTCGACATAAGTAGTTACTATTTCGTGGCCTGTTTCCGATGGACACGTAACAACCTTCTTCGACTGAAATGAAAGCCAACATTCTTGAATGCTTTGTTGACGATAATCTCCTATAGTTACTAAAATGATATTCACCGGTGAATAAATGGACTGCAAAGCAATTTCCAAATGCTATTCGAAGTTTGCAGAGCTTAATCCTTATTTATCTACAATTAAACATTGTAACCCCGTGTTATTTATAACACAAATAATGGATCACTTACAATTCAAGCGAACAAAATTAACTTTATGCGCTGCTTGAAAGTGAACTTCGGAGTATTAGAAATGGAATTAATTTTTTAAACCATCATTTTGACAATGAACTCGGCGATTCTTGTTAATGATGCACTTAAAGGCCATTATCTGTTTGAAAAGTACTTCCAGAAGTCGTTATTGGAGCTCTTATGCCGTTTTTACTAAGGAAAAACAATATTATGTAGATTCCTTTACGAATCATTTTCTCCATTATGTCCCAACCCCATTATAAACCCTCGAACGGCGTGTGACAGCGACTCTTTTCAAGAGGTCCTACTTCGTTCTATGAAAAATGATTTTGGACGATTTTATATTCCTAATCATTTTTATTATGTTAATAAAAAGGTAGAAAATTTCGGGGTCGAACACGTTAATATTATACGTATTGTGATATTATGCTCATGACCAAGGCAAGGAATAATATGCACTTCAACATGTAGAAATATGCGCATATATATGCACAAAAATAGTGATAATTATGCACCAAATATGCATCATGTTCTTTTAAAATGCACAATTTTTCCACAAATTTTGGTATTTAAAACAACAGGTTGCAACAACTTCATAGTATAATTTTCAAAAAAAAATAATGCACAAAATATAACTAAAAACTAATTAATTTCAACTTACACTACCCTTTGATACCAACGAGAAGGAAAATGCTACCAAGTAGGTACTGCTTCGTAAAACTCCAAAGAAAAACTTTATGACTCACTAAGATGCACAAAACCCGTGGCGTCGACTTATGAACAGGAAAGCGCAAAAGTTTCTTGCTTTGCAATTTTATAATAGGCCAGAGACAAAAATGCTTTAGAAATAACTACACAGGGATCAAAAATGCTTGAATATGCTCTTGATAATATTTTATGCACAAGGGCACTGAAATATGCAAAATATGCAAATATTAATTGGATTATTTGAACTCTATTCAAGTTGATCAGCCCAGATCCAAAAGCACACACATGGCATATTATTAATTTAAAACATGCATTTGCATAAAATCACTGCCTTGCTCATGACAGTTTTTCATGAGGCTAGAATTTGCAAGACGATCGAAAACGGTTGCAGTTTTAGCGTTAGAAAGAGAAACGATTCAGAATAAACTCCTCCACGTGGCACCTCTACACAGAAATTTATAATTGCACAGTGCGCTTGCAGACTTTTTGAAATTATTATTTCAAGGTCCATTCTGAATTTATTTATCAATTTCTAGCGTCATTGACTATGTTCAAATAAACCCTTGGCTTAAACATTGCCCTGGGCTTGGAGAAGGAAGGGTTTTATGCCAATGCTAGCTGCACCACGATGCCGTGCAACTTCCATGGTTTTGCTGACTACTAGGGGGAGACACTACATATTGCGCTAGCTGATAGTGGTCATAACGGGCCAATGGTTGATGCAAGCGTTTATTACACAGCCCGTTAGAGGATGTATTGAAAGTGCGGTATGTAGGAAACTAAAAAGGCTGAAGAAATTCGAAGAACGTTCTTGGAGGTTTCTTGAGCATGAAAAGTCGACTACAAATTTTACAAACGTAAGCCTAATGTACCAGTGTGTGACAACGATAAAAGTGTACTTTATCTTCTGATTACTCCTCAACTAAAGAAATTCAAAATCTTACCTTACAACGCAGTCGTTTGTCGCAATTGCTCGCCTGAAACAAATATTCAATTACTTAATCACTTCCAACTAGAATTACAGTAACAGCCAATTTTACAAAGATAGAAAATGTGAAGAAAAATAAAAAAATATTAGACATTCCAAAAAAACAATAAAGAAATAGTTGAAGTAAGAAATAAAAAAATTGATTAATATCTTTTACAACTAGGGAACTGAAATCAAAATTCATGCCGGCCCGTGTGGCGCAGTTCAGTTAAAGCTGAACTATGGTGCTAAGGGTCCCTGGTTCGAATCCGGGTTCGGGGATGGATATTTCTAAATGTATAGTGGGTTGGGCTGATAGAGCAGCCTTGGCTGAAACCCCGCCCACTCAAAAATAAAGGCAAAATAAAAAATAAAATAAATAAAATAAAACTAGCCAAATTTGCACCGCATTAAAAGTATGGTACCTGCCTTAGCTTAAAACGAAAATTCGTTTTGCTTTTTGCAAATCACTTGCACCCTTACGTCTTGCATAAGACGCTCCTCGAAACCCTAAGATACCTACTTTAATATTTAATTTGGAAAATAATAATTGGGTGGATTTGTGTTGAGGTTGAAGAATTGAGAATTACGTCAACGTTCTCCTTGGCTCAGATATTTAACGGAATGCAAAAAGCACCACATCTTAAACACTGTCACGGACACGCAGCCGGACAGAGAAACTAGATGTAATGGGGCAAATCTAAAATCGGCGCTTTAGCATTTCAAAATCTAGGAAAGCAAATAATCTGGGAATTTCAAATTTGTTAAACTCAAAAAAAGTTTTCGGGATTCCATCTTAAGCAATTCAAAGAATTGGGATTTATTGTTTCTCTTACGGAACCATATAAAATTATAGTACCTAATTCGATCTTTATTTTTTGATATCTTAAAGACTCGGCTTTAGGTTTTCCCAAAATTTCTTTTTCTAACACTTCACTTAAATCTTTCACGTCAGAAAAGACATACATGTTCACGGTTTGCCGATATTGTCGCAAAAATGACACACAAATTTTAGGTTGTGTGGCCTCTTGAATGCTTGTTATTTGAGCAACGAATTTCTTTTTTGTCATCTTGTCAGATATCAATTCTGTTAATAAAAAATCACCTGGCTTCAGGATTTTAGTGTCAACTTCTTCAAGATTGAATTTCTTCTGCTGAGGGCAAAATTCGAATTAACTATCGCTAGAATCGTTTGAATAATCTTCAAACTCTAAATTAACTGAACTTTCCGATGAGCTTTAATCTATCGTTATTTGTATGTTTTTCGGTAAATCGCGTTTAACTTGTTTCTTCTTTGAATTTGTTATTTGAGATTTATCCACTGTTGCGTTTAGTTCTTGATAGTTGTAGAGAGTACCATGGTTTTTCCCCTTTTTGCTTTTCTTTTCGGGGCTCTTTCTTCCTTTGCTTTAGGTAGAGGTATAACATCACTGGGTGAATGGTATAAGTTTTCTATCCCACTGGAAACAGTAGAAGATTGTTTGGTTGTCATGTCAAGAAATGAAGGGGATCGAGTTCTGGCACTAGAAGGGTCTGGTTGTGGAGAGTTATTAACATTTTTGGGTTGGTGCGATTGGCCAGGTAGTGGCACTTCTTTAAGTGCTCTATATGTGGCCTCTGAAGCTTTAAATGCATCCTCTGGAAACACATCGGTTGCAGCGCTGACGACTCCTCTTTCCACCCCTATCCCTTTGGATCCAAAGGGCTCCCCATCTAGAACTGGATCAGATGGTAAACCCTCTTACTCTACACGACTTTAGGAGGGGAAAAGCGTCATGGTGGGGAAACTAGACTTCCTGGACGTTCTGGTTATACACTATACTTATACATCTATACATTACATATATCTCCCAAATGGTTAATGCTAGAAAAAACTGTAGGAAATTTATTGAGCTTTCATTTTGTAAATATAAGTGGTTATGAAAAAGTTGATAGTTTTCGAGATATTGAAGAAAAATTGAAAAAACAAAATGGAGGCATGTTGTGTATCTCCTACATAGGGGGTTGTTGGATATGAAGAGGAATGTCCAAAGAACATTTTGGTCAAATTTCAAAACTAAGTTAATTATTTTTATTTGACGACGATTTAGTAGTAGATTGACTGGGCCAAAATTATTAACCAGCCTTTAAAACTCCTTGAAGCGCCTTCAATAATTTCAGGCATCAAGAGCGTAGGACCACCACAAATGGATTCAAATAGTCTTTAAAATCCTTGACATTCTTACTTTGATTTAAGAGTTGAGCATTTAAAAAACTTTGTGAGACGTAAAGAGGGTTTTAAAGCCGCCCTACCAGCTTGCAAAAACCATTCAAGTACCTTTAAAGGTATTTATTTTATAGCAGATGTTAAATTAACATTTTAATAGATTTAAATGAGTAGGATAAGTCGCTCTTTAACTGTGATCACTTTAACCGCAAGGATAGATAAAGTGAAACAGATGATTACGCATTCTAATGATTACTGTCATTCTTATTTCAAATGGGACGCGGAGCACGATATAAGGTGACGTGCAGAACATATGACAATGCTGTTATCATGGAAACGACCGCGACGACAGAACCTATGCTTGCTATTTTTTACGTCTAAATTAAATTCAGAGTTGGTAGAAGCTTCTGCTATAAAATAAAGTTTTGTATTAAACACGACGATAAAGGGAAACTAACCATCTCGTGAAAGTTAATTCTCTCGTAGCTACGCCACTTGTGAATTAACATTTTTTACTCAATGGTTAAAATACCCCGTTATCGTCTTATATAATAAATCTATTATATTATTATCAGTATTTAGGAACCTCTCTCTCTTTTCGTATTTAGGTTTTATATGATTGCAGATTATTGGCAGACAGCGTCCTTCTGAGCTCGGAAAGGTAACCGGTTACGATTCGAATGTTGTTAGCTCCGACTTCGGCGCGCTTCGTTCTAGTGAGCGACACCCGTAAGTGGCGGCATACCAAGTTTACTTATTTATTTTTGAGTAGCTGACGAATTAACCACCCTGACCCATCTACTTTGCGTGAACTTACAGTGCTTAACTGAATTTAATTTTGTTGCGTGTGCTCAAAGTGCACGTAATAAGTTCTGGAGACTCCCTCAATAGTTTGGAAAACACGAATTTTAGAACCATTGTATTTAGGGTGGTCCTTAATGAGAAAGTAAAATGTGAACTGTTTCATTAATGTGGATAGCACGTATGCGGCGCGATTCTGCACAGATGGGTGCAAGGGTCTTTCACTTTTGACGCAATGGGGAAGAGCCGAATGACGTTGGCCCATCATATTCTTAAAATTGATTTCATTCTCTTTCTAAGACTCACCAGGATCTCTAGGGAGGCCCTCCAAAACTAATGAGCGACTAACTTCACATGCGACAGAGGTCAGAAGAGTATTTGTGAGATGAAACTAAGAGAACAATAAGGCGCTTATGAGAAACAGTATTTTAAATTAAATGTTATAAACCAAACATCATTAAGTGATGTGATAACTAATGACTTATTTATCTTGCACCAGGTGCTACCAAAACTTGCATTCGATAAAAAAAGGATGGCACCCATTCACGAAAGCATATCTTTCGTTAGCTTGCATAATTACAGATATTTAGTACATATTGCCAAAGAAATAATGTTTATTAGTTCATTAAACAACGCCGGATATATACTGTAAACGTGACTATTTAAAGAAGGGCGTCATTATATCGTAAATTATGGCGATGAACTGAACTCCGCTCTAATGATAGCAAAACCGATTTCCAATCGCACTTTACAAATCGGGCGAAGGTTTGAAGAGACACTTTTCCAATGAGTGGGTCTCGGAATTTTTTTTGGTAAATGAGTAAAATGTAATTCCAACAAGTCATCAAATGTCAAAGGGCGATGAATCTATCGAAAATGAAAGCGAGGTACAGAATTTTGATTCAACATTTCTTATCACAATTATTTATCAGACCTCTTTCTTAGCTTTCTGGTTTATTTTTGCGAGAAAGCTATCATTTCATCTTTCCATTTCGAAAATGTGACTGGATCGATGAAACTTGTTTCATACGAGTTACCAACCCCGGATTTATTACAACAAAGTTTAATGAATAATGCATTGTTCTTTTTATTACGTTTAGTACCACTAGAAGCCTTGTAATGTAATGTTTTATTTCCCTTGAGTTTTTTCACGAGCGGTATTTAGTATACCCATGGACTAATTTTTTTAGTCTATGGTATACCTATTATATGGCTGTTTAAGACGTTTTCTTTTCACGTTTAGACAGTCTGGTATGTTCCGTTAGCGATGTCAAAGTTTGTTTAGACTCTCATAAAAATCGTTATAACACAATAAAATAGGAAGTTGAAGAAAAATCAAATAAAATTTAAGCAGCTTTATTGTTGGAGCAGCTTAATGCTTAACTCATAACTTGGAGAAAGCTATTTCAACTATTTCACTATTGTACACGAGTATTCGCGCCAGGGATACGCCTGCAAAGTTATGAAGCAAACAAATATTATACAGTTCATGTTTTACCGTTGATTAATAGCTTACAGCTTACAAACCTGACATGCGATTATTGTTTCCCACAAGCTGCTAGAGAAAGATAACCGCCCCCGGTGATCCCAACGTTTACCAAAAATTTCGTAAAAATCTTCAAACGCACCGCATCAGTTTATTTAATCTAAATTTTCATGCGTCCTGCACACAAACTGATGTACAAAATCTTCGCGGAAGCAATTAATACCGTTTTAAAGAGGCGCAGATTAAATTAAGACATTAGCGACACGAGCGTTAGAATGTACCGCAATGTTTGTAGGTGTAATTAACGCCGTCGAAAATTTCTTTCCGAATGGATAATTAAGAGGGGGCGATCGAATGGTATAGGTTATTGATTCGCCCTAACCCCATTGCTAAATAAATTGTAAGGGTGTCTAAAATTATTCATTAACTGTCTAAATCTGCACAGTTCACTACGCAATCTCTGCCATTTTGTCTCATAAATTCAATATTACCTACTCTCTTTCTTGCCGAGTGGTAC